TATTATTCAGAATAGTTTCATTCCCTTAAAAATTCTTTGTGTTCACCTATTCCTTCTTCCCTGTCTTCTAACCCCTGGTAACCACTGATCTTTTGACTGTGTTCATAGTTTTGCTTTTTCCAGAAAGTTATGCAGTTGAGATGGTGCAGTATGTAGCCTTTTTAGATTGGCTTGTTTTACTCATTACTCTGCATTTTGGTTTCCCCATTTCTTTTCATGGATTGGTAGCTCATTTCTTTTTGGTGCTGAATAATATCCATTGTTTAAACAAATCCATTTATCCAGGCACCTACTAAAAGACATCTTGGTTCCTTCCACATTTGGGGAGTTAAGAATAAAGCTTCTATAAACAGCCATGTGCAGGTTATTTGTGAACATAAGTTTTTGGTTCATTTGTGTAAGTACCAAGGAGCACAATTACTGGATCATATGGTAAGAGAATGTTAACATTTTAAACTGCCTATTATCTGTCTTCCATAGTAGCTGTACTATTTTGTTTTCCTACCAGCAATGAATGAGTTTCTATTGTTCCACAACCTCAACAACATTGAGTGTTGTAAGAGTAGGTTTGAAATTTTATCTCATTGTGTTAGTTTGTAATTCCCTAAACGCATACAATGTTGAGCATCTTTTAATTTTTTTCTTTGCCATCTTTGTATCTTTTGTGAGGTTCTCTTGCAGGTCTTGTGCCCATTTGTAATCGGGTTATTTGCTTTCTTATTACTAAGATTCTTAAGAGTTCTTTGTATATGTTGGATAACAGGTCTTTATCAAGTATGTCTTCTGCAAATATTTCTCCCTTTCTATTGTTTGTTTTCTCTTTCTCTTAGCACTGTCTTTCAGAGAGCAGATGTTTTTAATTTTAATAACGCCACTTTATCAATTATTTCTTCCTCTATCATCTTTTGTTATTATATCTGAAAAAGTTATCACCAAACCGAAGGTCATCTACATTTTCTTCTATGTTACATTTTAGGAGTGTGATGGCTTTGTGTTTTATACTTAGGTCTATGATATGTTTTGAATTAATTTTTTGTAAAAGATGTAAGATCTGGGGATCTATTCTTTTTTATATATATGTAAATATCCAGTTGTTTCAGCCACATTTGTTGAAAAGACTGTCTTTTCTCCATTGTTATCAGCTTGTCCTTTTCAATATTTGTGTGGTCTTTTTCTGAGTTCTCTAATCTGTTTCACAGATCTCTTTGTCTGTTCTTTTGCCAGTGCTACAGTTTTGATTACTGTAACTTTAAGGTAAGTCTTGAACTTAGAGAGTGTAATTGTTTGAACTTTCTTCTTCTTCTTCAATATTGTGTTGACTATTCTCTGTCTTTTGCCTTTCTATATAAACTTCAGAAGCAGTTTTTCAATATCCACAAAATAACTGGGTGGGATTTTGACTGGGACTATGTTCAATCTATAGATCAAGTTGAGAAGATATCAAGACATCTTGACAATGTTGAGTCTCTCTATCTATGAACATGTAATATCTCTTTATTTAATTCTTTGATTTCATTCACTGGAATTTTATTAGACATCTTTTTTTAACTTCATTGTTACAACTTAATATGTTAAATGTTGCCCCTGTTATGACTATTTGAGGTTTTTGTTTCATTTGTTTTGTTTTTAATATTATCTTTCTTTTTAGTTTTTATTTTCCTGTTCAAAATTTCATAATAGTGCTAACTTATTTTCTAAATGAATAAGATGATTAGCCATAAACTGAAGGCCGTCTGACATATTGACACAATGGGCCTTTTCAGTCTTGCTCTCACGACTTACCTGCATGTATCTCTTGTTCTCATTGTACTGAACCAGTAGATACTCCCTCATGCCTTCAGCTTCTCCTTGCCTTTGCTTCTTTTATCCCATCTGTTGTCCTTTCCTCTTCTCTTTCTTTAACCGTTTGCATCCTACCTACATGCAAGATTGAACTCATATACTCACACATTTAGCCACATGAAATGAACTGTCATAACACTATTTCTTCCTTTCTTATGACAAGTAAATTTACTCTGCTTTATATTATAGTTATTTAGGGACTTATTATTCTTCTAGGTCACAAATGCCTGGAGGATTGTTCCTTTTTCATCTTCATACCCTCTGTAATAGCTATTAGTCCTGCAATAAGAACTTTTTAATTTAACTAATTATTATTTTCATGCCAATTTTTTTCTTCATACATAATCTCAGAGACATGGGTTTCCATTTCATGTTGCATACCATTTAATGATAGCCCTGTCTTGTTTATCTTTTTTCTTTTGTTATTAGTGAAAAATGCTGTAAGTAAACTAAAATATAAAATACAATATTTAGAGAGATTGTTAATATAAATTTTAAGTTATCACTTAGATTTTTACTTTACATATGACCCTTAAACTTTTCTATTAAATAATTAATGTACTTAAATTATACTTCTAAGTTAAAATCTTAAATCATTTATATGAGTATAAAAATGATGTGAACTAAACATGGGATCCCAAACAAAATAACTGAATAATAGAAAGCTCTGGGTTAAAAATGGGGAAATATATTAAAATTTCTTTGGGGCTCTGACTTTATTGCTTATGGCAAACCTGATGCTGAAATGTACCATACATCACTACAGTGACAGGCTTGAGAAAATGAAAAATCCAAAGCTTTACATAAATCAACTAAAAGATCATATTAAAATGTATAACCTTTAGCAGAAAAATCAAGACTTTTACTTGTAACTTTTCAGAAGCTCTTTCTTCCTATATTATTGTTTTAAATTTTCAAACAGCTTCATGGAAGGTAGTTTTTTAAATTAATTATTTGCAAAGCTATTGTATTTATAAAGAGATACAATTCACAGAACTTTAACCCCAGTTTTACTGATGTTCCCTACTATTAGTACTTAATTTTGCTTTCATTGATACGACTTTCTAAGTACTAATATATCCTATAATCACTTAGCACTTAACTATGTTTTTTTGGTGAAATAATCTCATGGAATAATGATACATTTTATATACTAATAAAGGCTCACATTTCTGAAAGTTGTAACTTCTACAGGCATTATCAGTCTCATAGCCCATTCTTGGTTTTTTCATTTTGTTTGTTTTATTTCAGATATATCATCAAATGTCTTGAAAAACTTTGTAACATTTAATCATCTCTGTGCTCTTATTTTTCACTGCAATCCAACATATACCTAAGATCACCTACTATTTTTAAAAAACTGTGTGGTCTATGTGGGATTCACTATAAATATAGACAAATTACAGAGTAATTCTAGTTTTTGCCAGTAATTGTTATTCCCAATGTTTTGGTTATGGTGACAGATACCACTAGTTTAGCTAATCTGAACCATAATTTATTGATGTGAAATAACTTAGGGGACCTGGAAAAATAAACTCGGACCCACTCTGATGCAAATAATTGGTGATTTCTTCACACCTATACAGGGGGCCATTGTTCTGAGACAAATGGCCCTGAAGTACTGGGTTTTTTTGTCTTTCATACCTTTGTTTCTCTGAGTAGCTTAAGCAAGCAGAGCGGGGAACAAGGAACATTGCCATTGGCAGGGTTACAGCTTGGTTGTTAATGGGTACATCTCAAATCACAGTGGTTATGGTTATACAATAGTAATTAATCAAGCCTCAGTGAGTTTTCCATCATTGTTCATCTACTGAACAAGCCTCAGTGAGTTTTCCATCATTGTTCATTTACTGAACAAGCCTCAGTGAGTTTTCTACCATTGTTCACCTACTGAGAACTTGGGGTTTTGTGAAACTTGGGACTTTCCATGCCTCTTTGAATTCTGGAGCGCATGGGAACATGGCTGGGAAGGCCCATAGGGTGGAGGAATGGGGGAACAGAGGGCAGGAGGTTGCCCATAGGGCAGGAGGATGGGAGAAGGCAGGAGGACCCCGGGGGAACAGGAGCTTAGAACATTCCCGACTGGTCTTCTTGGGAAATTAAATCTTTAATTTATCTGAAGAAAGGGGTCTTAGTCTTAGGGGATTTAGAGCAGAAGTGGAATCTGGGCTAGTGGGTTGGTACATGGTCCCCTCTTGGGTCTTAGTACCGTGGTAGTGGGCTAATTTTTTTTTTGTGACATTCTCCCCCCCCCATCTTAAAGTTCAAAGTTTAATTAAGTCCCTCCAGGAGTTTCCTCAGGCTTTGGCTGTGCATTGACCAGCCAGCTCCCAATATGTGGCTGGAGCAGGGCATGTTGACTATCTTAAAAGCCAAGGGGCAGTGCAGTTTTATTTAGCCAGTTGTCATGACTTCAGGTGAGGATTCTTTTCATCTTCTCACTACTGTGTATATGGTTAGGATGATGGTGTAAAGTTCTTTTTACCTTGGTTTCAGGGGGACCAGTTTCTGATTTTAGACTTGGTTCCCTTGATTCTCTAGAGAGAAAGTTTTGGGATGCATAGGTACAAAAGATTAAATAAAACATGGTTAATTATCTCAGTGAAGATCTTCCTTGTTACTTTTCAGTTCTTTTAGGCATTCCTGCTAAATTGTAGAGAATTGACAGAGGTTTTTTAGAACAACACCAGTGGCAAGGCCTGTATTTAATTAAGCTTTGCTTTCTGGCAGAGTTTACTAATTTCTGTTCTTGTTGATACATTTTATTTTAAGTTTTTGAGGCCTATAAGTTATTTGAAGCTTTAGTTTATAATATTTTAGTTGATAGTACAACAAAGTTGAGATTTAGTAATATAAGTGGGCTATAGCCATTTTTGAACTATTTTTCTCTCTCCAATTTTTCTTTCCACTGAAGTAGTTGTTAAAATAAATAGTACCTTTAGTATACTGGGTTTGATTATTTGCATAGAGTGCAATAAGAATAATTAATCATTAGCCATCTAGGCTCCCTTTAAAATTGGCTTTGCTGGAATTCTTTGTATGGGATTTCAGTTGGACTTGAAGCTTTTCACAAGCCCAGGTTTCTTCTGTGCCATTAGATACCTGTATGCATTGGGTAAATTCCTCTTCTCTTGAGGTTCCCAAGCACATTTCAATTCCTGGACCCATCAGCAAGCCACCTTCGTTACTCACTACAGGCTAGGAAATTTTATTGATGGGTATCTGGCCAGTTTTTCAAAGGGCTTTTTATTGGCTTTATAAAGTCAACCTTAATCTTTTTATGTAGTCTGGATATCTCTGAAAATGTTATTCCAGTTAAAGCCTTGGTAAAATAACCAGTGCCTTTATTATGTCCTGTAGAACAAAACAGATTCTTATTGAACTTATGCAAATAACTGTATTGTTAGAAATTAAGAATATTTACAAATGGCTTGTAAATTCTGGAGTAATCAAGGAGAGAAAAAAATACATGTTTTAAACTCTGCTCAGAAGTGATATACATTGCTTGAAAAGTTACAGATAGCTCAAAAGACAGAAAAATAGTTTTTTAGACTTCTGGAAAACAGAATACAGACAGAACTAACAATATTTCGAACAAAAAGTCATAACAAACTAGCCCAGTTCCATGTAACTGATTTCTGTTCTGTTTGAAGTTAGGTTTAAAATTATTACTGACAGTATATGTTAGGATAAATTAAGTTTTATATGTTAGGACAGATCAGTGCTTTACAGGTGAGGACAGACTAATATCTTACAATATCAGGACATACATATGTAATTATAATTCACACAAAATTAATCACCATTTCATATCTGACAATGCTTCTCATACACTTTTAACAAATCAAATAAGTCTAATTTGTTTTTTTTTCCTTTTTTCAGGTTCAGAACCTGCCAGTCTTAGTTCATGTGGCCGGCGCCACAACTACTGTGCTGTGGGCACCAAGCCTTAAATTTAGACTTTTGATTTTGGGAGGTTTGTCAAATATTAAAGGCTTAAAATAATTTGTTTAACCAAAACTACAAACCAAAAGATTCTAAAGGAAATACATAGGGAACTGGATTACATGTAAACTTTCTCATAAAATCTCTTTTATGAGTTTTACTTAACCTGCCCAAACAATTTACAAACATTTTAAACTTTTTAACTTTTGTCTTGTCTTTTACCTTTTTTAACTATTTTGTTTCAGGATAAATTTATTATATAATATTCATTCCCTATACAATGTCATTTTTCTTTCTGTCTAATTTCTCTTATTCCCTAAAATTCACTTCTTACAAAACAGGATTCCAGTTAACCATTTACTTGCTAAACTGATAATTAGAAAGTTTTAAAAGGCAAGAATTTTTTTTTGATAAAGACTGAGGTTTTTTTTTTATTTTGGCAACTAAATTATTACATTTTACAAATGAGAGACATTTTATGAAGTATAACATTGATACAGGATTTTCTCAATTAGAGCTAGACCGGAAATCTTTATTTTTCAGGCTCAAGTAAGCTCAAGAGTCAGATTTTTATTTTTAGGCACAAACACATTGCAGGTCATACCCTTTGAGCCCTAGTAAGGTTATAAATAAAGCAGTTCCAAACATTTTGGAAGGCTTCGCTCTGAGTACGAAGTACATACCCTAATTTTTTCAGATAAAAATTGCAAAGACTTAAAAACTTGGCCTAAGGTGCGGGGCTGTATTTATTCATTTGTTAGAATACCTATTAGGCAGTGAGGTGAGAAAGCCAGGCAAAAGGAGTGGGCAAGTTTGAAAGGAATTAAAACTCTTCTTACTATGTCTGAATTTTTAGCCAGTCATTGCCAGCAACACCCTTGTTGTCTGCATAAGCAAGAATGAAGGTTTAACAGGAAATGTGATAGGATGACAAAATAAATGTACTAACAAGTTACCAGGGCGGGAATTCTGGACTCACCAGGGGATAATATTATTATACAAATTTACCCAGTTACTTTTTTTGACTTATGGCAACTAAGAGTATTACAATTAGGCAAATGTTAATCATGAAAATTCTGAAAGGAAAGACAGTCTAAGTAACAACACTTGGTAGTGGGAGAATGGAGGGGGACAAGTCGCCAGGGTTTTATACATTTCCTGATGGACTAGTGGGGGTGGGTGGTAGTGCTACCAAGCCTAATACCAATAATAAGGATGAAGATACCAATGACTGCCAGGCCAAAGATGCACCAAATGGTGAGGGGTGTAGAACATGTAAGAGTAAGTAAGCAAGGCAGTTTCAGAAGGGGTAAAGTCTTGAAGGGTTCCTTGAAAGAAAAGATCTGCAATCCACTCACAAATGTTTTCAAGACTGTTTGTTTCAGGCCAAGACCAATCTTCCAATAAACACTGAATAAATGTCGTAAAAAGACAAAATAGACACGGGCCTCAGCGTAAATAATGCCTAATAGTCCACATTTATTCTCACACTCTTGTATTCTTAGAATCAAAACCAGAACACATTTTATACACTTTTAACAGGCCTGTGAGTGCTCTAATACCCCAGGGGTTGATTGGACCCCCGCTTTTATTTCAATGGTGTTTCTGGTGACAGGTGTTGGCCTACGTTTCTGGGAGTCCTTGACAGGTTGGTAGGGCTGAAGTTCCTCACTGGTTGGGTCATTTTACTAACACATGTGTCCAAGAGTTTCTGACAAACTAATGGCTCGGCAACCCAGAGTTCCTGTCTAAAGTTTCTATCTTTTTGGCCTTCCCCTGGAGGATTTTCCTTAAGAACCTACATCAATTATAACGAATTTAACAGTTACATTTTTTACAATAATTCATAACAAATAATCATAACAAAAATACCATTAATAATTAATATTTGCAAACACTAGTCAAAAATAGATGTTAAGGTGGCTTACCTCCAGAGGCGGGTTCACATCTGAATTTAAGAGCCAAACAGAGTAATGTTAATTCAGAAGGAAAATGGCTGTTGTTCTAAGAAATAAGGAGGACTCTTTTTTTTTTTAGTTCTAATTGAGTAATTGACTTGGGTCTCCTGCTGAGAGCTGGCACTTTATCTCAAAACTATTTGTAACATAGCAACCACAGTTTTTTGTAGGCAGAAGAGGAACAGTTTTAATAAACTTTGTATTAACATTTTAATTGTCAGAAAGAGAGGACAATAAAAACAAAAGTGATGCCATCGGCCAGTGGCGGGTCCAGGCGGGGGTTCTCACTGGGGGGTCTCCAGATGAAATAACTTAGGGGACCTGGAAAAATAAACTTAGACACACTCTGATGCAAATAATTGGTGGCGGGCCGGTGGCAGGTCCAGGCTGGAGGATCTCGCTGGTTGTTTCCAGATGAAATAACTTAGGGGACCTGGAAAAATAAACTCGGACCCACTTTGATGCAAATAATTGGTGATTTATTCACACCTGTACAGGGGGCCATTGTTCTGAGACAAGCAGCCTGGAAGTGCTGGGGTTTTTTGTCTTTTGTACCTTTTTTTCTCTGCATAGCTTATGCGAGCGAGGGGCGGGAGGGACAAGGAACATTGTCATTGGCAGGGTTACAGCTTGGTTGTTAATGGATACATCTCAAATCACAATGGTTATGGTTATACAACAGTAATTAATCAAGCCTCGATGAGTTTTCCACCATTGTTCATCTACTGAGCAAGCCTTGGTGAGTTTTCCACTGTTGTTCATCTACTGAGAACTTGGGAGTTTTATGAAACTTGGGATTTATTCTGCCTCTTTGAAATCTGGAAAGCATGGGAACATGGCCGGGAAGGCCTGTAGGGTGGAGGAGCGAGGGAACAGCAGAGGGCAGGAGGTTGCCCATAGGGCAGGGGAATGGGGGAAGGCAGGGAAAATAGGAGCTTGCCCATAGGGCAGGTGAATGGGAGAAGGCAGGGGGACCTGGGGGGAATAAGAGCTTACAACAGATGATTCAAGATAAACAGAATGTGTAAGTTATGATCCTATTTTTCTAAAACCAGTGGTGGAGAGAAGAGTTTATATATTTGTTTATGTTTTAATGAGAATGATAAGAGATGACATATAATCACTAGACTGACAGTAATGAATTTTTGTAGGGAATGGGAGCAGCTTAACTCTATATATTTGTGATTTGTGGCTTCATACAATGAGCATTTTAAATTGTAAAAATATTTGATTAAGAAAATAGAAGCAGTATAGTGAGTTTCAGTGACAAATATTTAAATGTTATCCTACAACATTTTAGTTGTCTTAATAGTAAGAGATATATGAAAGACCTTTAAAACTTTCCACTGAACTCAGATGAAAATATTACTCAAAGTGTAGGACTGAAATCTAGTTGATGCTATAGTAAGTCTAAGCAAAAACCCATGGGGGGAAATCTTATGTACATATAAAAGATTACTAAAAGCATTGGGATGGTAGACCTTTAAGTATGTTGTATATGAGAATTTTCTCCCACCACTCAGAACTGTATGTATAAATTCAAAGATACCCACCATGGAAGATGCTACAACTGTCTCTGTACCCTCAAAAATGTTTCCTTACAGATGAGACAAAGTAAGAAGATAAATTATGACTATTCACTAACATTTGGTTCAGCACAACTTTCCTACCCCATCCCACCCTCTTTGCCCTCAGGCTAAAGAGCAAATGATTGATAAGATGGATACAGGTATTTAGCAGTTGTCAAAAATTTAATGCTGTCAAACTAAATAATACAACTTGGGACTCAACTGGGTCCTAGGCTGTAGGTACTAATGGATCACAGCTGCTACAAATGGTCATTGGAACAGATTAATAAGTCAAACTTCAGACTCACCAGAACTTAGAAGACTACTTTTGACATATTTTTATCCTTCATAAATAGACTTCAGTAGTAACATCATACTACAATGATAGCATTTTATCGAGAATCAAACTGGCAGTGGAAAGTGTAGACTTGCCAATTTGAGAGGAGGATAAAAACAAAAAAATAACCAATCAGGTATTTTTCTTCTGTGTTGTCAAACTCTAAATGGCTATCTTATATTTTTAATGCTTATTTAATAGCTGTGTTATCCCATGTAGCTTTTTTGGAGTTGTTTTAAGGACTAATGTTTCTGGCTGGTGTTTTCATACAGTTACAGTTTGGTGATTTCTTGTAAAAGAGAAGCAGCATTCTATTCATTCATTCAATACTTATTTATTGAGTGCTTACTTCCATATACCTGTCATTGTATAGACAGACATTGGACATACAATAATGAATTGAAAAATTATTGCATTTGTTGATCTTACACGGAGACAAATGGACAAGTAAATCCAACATATAAGATTGAGGGGATAGTGGGAAATTTGCCTCATTGCTTATAGATATGTTGATTGGATTTTAAGGAATTAAGGAATTAACATGATCTTAAATCATGTTATAAGATTTGAATTTCTTATACTGATAGAATTAAACTCATATTCAGGGTAATAACACCAGTCTCTTCAGTCCCATTGGTAAATGGTAGTTGTGAGCTTTGAGTGTTTGAACTGGGGTGGAAAGGGGATAAGTGTCTCTCCAGGAGATAGAACCAAAGAGTGGTTCAATGAACTGTGAGAAAAGTCAGAAGAAAATATTCAGGATGAAGAATGATGCAAAACAAAAATAGAAGATATAAGTAAAAGGATAAGAGGCACAGAAAAAATGAGAAGATCTAGAATACATGTTAGAAAGAGGAGAGTGATAATGGGGAAGTTGCAATATTTGAAAAGGTAATAGCAGAGAACTGTCCAAAATTGACAAAATACCAAACTATACGTCCAAGGAATCTGGTGAACTCTAAGCAAAATAAAAAGAAATTCCGACTTAGGCATATGATGGCAAAACTTCTGGAAATAAAAGTCAAGGAAAAAAGTTAAAAACAGCTGAAGTGAATTAATAACAGGCTTCTTTCAAAGAAGCAACAGTTAGAATGAAACCTAACTTTTCAACAGAATTACTGAATCAAAAGATAATGGAATCACATTTTTTGTAATAGTAAATGAACATGACTGTCATCCCAGAATTCTATCCCCAGCAATAATATCCTTTAAGAATAAAGTGAAGGAATTTCCTGGATGACAGTAATTAAAAATTGATACTAGCAGATAATGCATTCCAAAGGATAGTAAATGATGTAAAGGCAAAAGAAAATGATCCCAGATGGAATGTCAGAAATCTAGGAAGAACAAGGAGAAATGAAAAGAGTTAATGTATAAGGAAATATTA